ATCCTTGTGTGGAAAAGTCATACTGATATAATTTTATGGAATCCTTCTTGATCTGTGTGTTTTACATTCTAAAAAATTTTGAGTGCTAAATAATAGTAACCTGTAGCTTTCTGTGTTGCACAATTATAAATGCTACAGCATTCCTGTGCTAAAGGAATTTGTTTTTGTTTTAAGCAAAATTTTATATTTTTGTAGGTTTGGCTTAGAAATATATTATTGTTCCTTGAAAGTCATCTCTAACCTTGATTTTGTATGATAAATTTAATGAATGAACCAGGATTCATGCAGAGAGTCAATTTGGTATGCTTGTTACTCTTAGTTATATTTGCTTGATGACAATTCTGAGCTGAAATAAAGAGGAGAAGGTGTCTTCAGTTGGGTTTTTCTTAATTTTTCCCAAACTTGAGTATCCTTTTCGACTGGATGACACAATCTTTGAACTGACAATGGAAATCTTTAAAATTTTCAGTTTTTCGGGCAATCAGTATATTGTATAGTTTCTTCTTTCAACTTATATTTAATTGAACATTTTATATTTCTATGTCTAACAATAAAATCAAAGCCCTTTTGCACTTTCAACGTATCTCCCTCATTCTGTCCTAAATTTCACTAACCCCATGTTTTCCCAAATCATTGGTTTCTTGTCTTATCTTTTCTTGTATAACCACACTGCCATTGCAGCATCCTCATCTCAATTGCACTCACCTTCTATGTAAGATTTTTGGTGATGTAAGATTTTTGTTTCAGTTTGGAAAATTTCTAATTTGAGAATGATTAAGCTTACTGTCTATACTTCTTTCATATTTAGGATGACATCCATTAGCATATGGTTTATACTCCCACAAGCTCTTAGGGACCATATAATTTGTTTTGTGACTGTCAAATTACCTATTCTTGCATCTTTGTATTCCCAATGTGTTGGGCATTTCTGTTTTACAGATAAATAATGCTCTGATATATTTTTTGTTGCACTGAACAGTTAAAGTTCCTTTTCAGATGGAACAAGCTAAGAATATTATCATGCATGATTTTGCATAATTTAAAATCAGCTTTATGAGTTATGACCTAACTGCTATTTTTCATTTTCAGTCAGATGCTGGAAAAAAGCTTCCATTTATCCTTGTGATTAATCTTGAGGTACGCACGTGGATGCAGTTCAACCTCCTTTATTTAGTACATGTTTTTGAGCACGATACCTGTTATATACTGGGAATTTTGATTAGACTCTTTCCTATGACGGCATTAGATAGGTATGAACATTTTCCTATGTTAAAGGGTTACTCTTGTGGAAATTTAACTATTAAAAGCTGAAAGTTGTTTGTTTGGGACATATAGGTTTGAGTTTCTGACCTTTACTACCCCGCTGTGGTAGGATCATTATTGGTAATGACGCTTAGGCCATAGTTTTTAGACACAATATGACGAATTCATTTAAAGTAATGTTAATGCAGAAATAGGCATGTGTGTAGTAAATAATAAGGCTAGAGTGGGTTGTAGATGGTCAACTAAGATCACTCTTTGGCCTTTAGACTTGCTTCTAGTTTCCTCTTTTCTCCCAAGAATACTGATTTTGGAGGTTGACAATGGGAGTTATAGCAGCATAAGGAGAATTTCAAATAATGGATTTCTTTTTTTGGTTGCAACAAGTCTCATTTTGGTCTTTCAAAAAAAGGATATATGTTTTAATTTCTCTCTTTCAGGTTCCTGCAAAACCAAACTATAGTTTGGTCCTCTATTATGCTGCTGAAAGGCCTGTGAATAAAAATTCTTTATTGGGAAAGTTTGTGGATGGAACGGATATGTTTCGTGATGCAAGATTTAAACTGATTCCAAGCATTGTTGAGGTATGAAATGCTACATCGTAAACATCTCAAGTGGCTTTTATTAATTCGTTCTAGCACCATAGAAAGGCTCATTTGTTTTCAAATGTACAGGGGTATTGGATGGTTAAGCGTGCGGTTGGAACAAAAGCTTGCCTACTTGGGAAAGCTGTTACCTGCAAATATTTCAGACAGGACAACTTTCTGGAGGTAATACAGCCTTGGTTTTTTTTTTTTTTTAATTTTCTTGCCTCATCAGGGAAGCTAATGTTTGCTGCATCTGCATTTTATTTTAGATATGAAATAGATGCACTTCATCTCTGAAACTTCAATCATATGAAAATTAGATTATTTCATGGTTTATATGAAGCATGCATTAACTGCATGTGGTCAAGTGGGAATGTGGAATCTCATATTTTCTGCCTTATATGTCTTCAGATGTTATTATGATCTTGAAAGCCTAGGTAGTATCAGAATCTAAAGTCTTGAGATATCTCTACAATTTTAGAAGTTCCACTGCACTGATATACACTGCAAGTTATCTTTGACATATTTCTTTATTGGGAAGTTAATGCCTACTCTTGCAATTCCAAAGTTGACTTGCAATGCTACATTATTATCGAATTTTATTGACTAGTTAGATGGGGGACTTTCTGATCTTGATGATATTGCTGCTGAATCTTATAATATGCAGATTGATGTGGATATTGGGTCATCATCAGTAGCAAGAAGTGTTATCGGCCTCGTCCTTGGATATGTCACAAGCTTAGTAGTAGATCTTGCAATTTTAATAGAGGTTCGTGCCTTTCTGCTGTTAATCTGTGAAAGTACTGTCTTCTAGTGTGGGCTTCAGACTAAAGGAAGTTTTTACTAAGTGTTTTGGGTACAAAAACAGAAAACAAAAGCAACTCTAACTAGCTCTTTCTTATGTACTTTTTGTTTGTCTACCTTGAGATTGCAGGAGTTTCCTCAAGCATTTTAGCTCTGGGTTGTGTGGTTTATCGTATTGCTTCTTGCAATCATATTATTCAAACAATTTGTCGCTTTTGTAGTTACTGTTTCAAATTGCTGAAAACCCTTCTTTGGATTTTCTTTTTCTGCTTGGGTCTTGTAGCAGCTGCAATAGGGATGAAATGCACAATGTTAGTAGTCCATAATTTTAGTCTTCTCTTGGTTTTTCTTTTTCTGCTTGGGTCTTGTAGCAGCTGCAATAGGGATGAAATGCACAATGTTAGTAGTCCATAATTTTAGTCTTCTCTTGGTTTTTCTACTCATAGTAGCTTTGGTAACAAGCAGTTAAAAACTCCCAAAATTTTGGCTGCTGATTAGAAAATCCTTAATTTTTCATTCGAGACAAAATTGCACCATGTTTCTTGATATTTAAGTATTCTTTGAGCCTTCTGCTCTCTCTTGGGGAGAATTTTGTTCTCTCATTTCCTCAATATATTGAACTTTCAAAAATAAAAAAAATTCTTTGAGCAATATCCTTGTTGGGATTTGAAATTCGTTATCAAGTTTAGTAACATAATGATGAAAGCACTCTAGAATAAACCCTAGATATCTAAAGTGCTATGAAAGATTGAATTGTTTCTAATTTTTACCTTAAAAATACATATGTCGAAGCCTAGATATTCATACTTTCTCCATCTGCAGGCAAAAGAAGAGGCAGAATTGCCTGAGTACATTCTGGGCACTGTTCGACTAAATCGTGTGAGGCTTGAATCTGCTATACCACTGGAGTTTTGAGGTTTTGCTACATTAACAATCTTTAATCATCTTGTGCTCCTAGGTTACTGTCACTATGTGTAGGGTAAGACTATCAAATGGGTTGTTCCAGATTTTATATCTTTTCAGTATTCAGTTTACTTGATTTGAGGGGATAACCGTTGGGTTCATACTTTACCTGTTGCTGAGTTATGTTGTGCTTGGTAGATTCAGTGGCTAAAAAGTTGGCTGTATTCATCCTTGACCAATATCATATTTGGTGAAGAACAATGGAATATTTTGTACATAAACTTTACATTACTGAATTTGGAACACCCTCCGGTATACATTCCACATTGTCACTTGAGACTTACTTGGAAGAGCCTTTGGAATTTATTGTAATCCTTTTATCTAAACACATTTGTTACAATATTTTGTTTGTGAGTTAGCCATTTTTCCTTGGATCTTTCCAATTAAGTTTGACAAATGATCTTTCAGTTCTCATTATCAGGTTTCGGCTAAGTTGGCACTTGGCCATGTGCAATCTCTTTTTCTTCCGTTTTCCCATGTTTGTTTCCAGTTGAGGATTCTATGATGGTTGTATTATATTCACATTTGCTTGGATAAAAGCCTGGTTACAGACAAGTTATAGAAATGAGTTTCCACCTTTCGGCTAGCATACGATCCCGGGCGGAAGAGATTATTGTTAACGTCTGGGTTCAACCCTGTCCTTTTGCCACCATATATGAAACTAGAAATCACTGGCACTTGTATATAAATCGACAATGACTCTGCATACTTTTCCTTTTATGAAGTTGCATTGATATTTTACCATTTAATGCTACTGTTACTACTCTCTCTCTGATTCAGTTCATAGCTGGCATAAGGTATCCTCTCTTCAAAAGGTTAACTTGCTTAAAGCTTTTCAAGATTTTCATACTTGTCCCATCCAAGATTGAAACGCTTGGTGTGACACTAAAGCATAGGTTCTCTGTGGAATAAAGCCGATTTGGGGTCATAGGTATTTCTTATAGCATTTGCAAATTGCATGGTTTTGGGTCCTACAACAAACGAACAAATTTATTAGAGAATTCTGGTTAAAGGTAGTAGAAATTTAAACGATGTGTCCCTTTCTTCAATCACTTTACTAACTCCACTTACTCTCTTTTGCTACAGCTACTTTCTCTTTTCACATTTTATTTATTGATGTTTTTCTTCATCCTTTGAATGTTTATCCGTTGTGCTTGGCTCATTAGTTTCAGCACCACCTATCTTTGACTAAATGTTCCCCAGCTTTTCACTACAGCTACCTGGAAAAACTCAAACTTACCCTTCAACTGAACCCATAGGCATAACCCCCAATTCAAGGTTAGCAATGGTCATTTCTGACACAATTAAAGCCTACCAACTTAGTTGGTAAACAGATTTGGTTATACTTTTTCTCATTTTATCAAGATTTATACATCAAATCAGATATGATCTAATTAAGCTCCTTCTCTTTTGACTAGATGAGTGGGAATCCAATTCAAGTTCAAAAACCCAAAAAAAAAAAGGGGTAATTTTCCCCTAAAAAGATGTGTTCCTCCCACAGCAAACGGCCATGCAGTCGGTGCAGGGTCTTTTTCAATCCTGTCAGGGGTAAACTCTTTGGAACTCTTTACATCCAACTCTGACTGCTGAACAGGGGTGTAGCTATTCAATCACAGTAGTTGATCAATCTTGATCCACCCCCTCGTGTGAGTTAACGTAATCTTTACGAAATTAACTTTTGGGGTTCTTTTGCTTGTGCTTTGCTCAAAGTTAATCCTCCCTCAAGGACAACTGAAGTAAAGAGAAACCCCTTTCAGAAACAACATAATGACGGTACATTGGCCTTCGATTCGAATTATACATATCAAGTTTAACCTGAATGGAAGCTGTGAGTCTGTGACAATGCTTTGGTTGAAAGATTAGTTCAACTAGTTTCTTTATTTCTACTAGTTGGGGAAGCATGCGCCCTTAAACCGTAGCACTAGCAGCTGCAACAAGAAGGAAGTGATAACACAGTGTAGGCTTTTAATGGCACATTAAAGCTCTGTCTGCCTCTGGGTCGGGGGTATTGCATTTGGCTTTGCAGAGTTCAGAATACACCTGACAATGGCAGATTTTTATCACACCCCATTAATTGAAACCTAATTATAACACGCAACAGGTTGGTTCTTCACGGGGCCACTGTGAAATTCATACAGGCTTACTGCCTCTCGTGAAGTGGGCCGTTGGGTACCGAGTATTTAAGGCCTTGCACTGTCTTCCATGATGAATATGGACGTGAGCTCCGAAAATTTCAGTGATGGAAACATGAAACCAAATTTTTTTTGAAAGTAATGATAGGCAAAAAGGACAAACTTCCCCATTGTGTCCAAAATCTCTTACTACTGAGTCTGTACTCTTGTTTTTTACTAACAATTTGATGTCTATGAAGTTGAAAAAGAAACCCAGAGAATAATAACCCCCATGGCTCTTAAATACTGGAGGCTTTTCTAAGTGTTTGCCAACTCGCATATTTATTCATCTGCCCCACTTTCCTGGATAGGGAAGAAATGTAGTGATTAAAGAAGCAAAACTGCCAATGGAGAACAAAGATTATGCAGTCAAAATCATGCAAGCCACCTACCCTGATTGTAAGTTTAGAGTTCGATGAACAAAGAAAACGTTTTACTGCTATCAGATTGAGTTGTTGCCTTGTTGGGTGCGGACAATTTTGCTGGTTTACTGGATTTGATGAGGTTTAGAGCCACTCATACTCTCAGCTTGTTACTCATAAAAGAGTTCCATGGCTACTTCCCCGGAGAGATTCCCTTTTTTTTTTTCCTTTCTTTCGTTGTATAATCATTGGATCGCATGTGGACCAGGAAACCCCGAGCAGTGACTGCCAAGGAACACACATGTCAAGTAGGGGGCTTACCTTTTTTATTTCCTTCAAAGACACAAAAGGCTAAGCTCATCATAAATTAAGGGAAATGCTGCTGCTTTTATCACAACCCTTGTCTTTACTCTTTACCTTCTCCGCACCTGCTGCTGTCATGTCAACAACATGATCAAATGAAAATCCTGGCAAAGATCTTTATCTTGTCCCTGCCTATACTGCCATTGCATACATGTTGAAATTAATCCACTAATACACTTAGTACATAATCTATTTTCAGTTACAAACTGTAATTGTCTTTGGGGTATAATCAGATCTTATTATCTCGCATGGAGCTTTTACAACAGGTGGAGATTCTAGACATGCTGGTGAAAAGAATAAAGTAGAAAAAGTAAAGAATTCTATCCTTGGTCAAAATTCTGGTAACAGCTCAAGTCGGCAGGAACAGCCTTCATTTTTCCTCCGGAGCAGATGTCAAGGACATTTTCTTTTCCTCTTTCCTTTTCTTCGGTTTGAGAGAAGTTGACCACCACCAGGTTGCTGCTTTTGTGGCTGAAATAAAACAGTGAGGATGTTGCTCATTCTGCATCTTCCTCACACCTGAACCACCAATTGAATATAGATTTCCATGCACCCTTTCTTTTACCCTCATGAACAACAAATCATTTCCATTTTCCATCCATATATTCTGTATCTAGCTATAATGATTGATAATTTTTGCTTTCTCAACTTTCATCCAGATACAATGTGGCACCACGGGTGTGATACAATAATTTACACAAGGTATAATCATTAACGGTCCAAAGAATGGTTCATAGCAGCTGTCGTGTTAATTGCCTAATAAGTGCCTAACTGAATATGATATAGCTTTATATATGAGTAAGCAATTTGGCTTCAACCACAAAAACCCTTTTCTTATTTCTGTAACTAAACAATGAAAGTTGATGATTTCGATGGTGTCCCACAGTGTTTCATATACTAATTCAAATTGAGACACTGCTGATAATGTATAGGATTCTCTCCAGTGGAAAAGGGAGGAAAAAGATGGCTTAAAGATATGAAAGCTTTATTCCGTAATGGCAAACACCATCCAAATAAACTTAAGACCGCAAGGCCCCATCTTGCCCCAAAAGCAGCCTGATAATATTCTCATATCAACTAATCACTATGCGTCATTTCCTCCTTTTATGCATCCTTTCCCTATTTCCCATGTATCAATTCATCCAACAAAAACACAGGAACGCAGATTGCAGTGAGCTGACTTACCTTTTTTTTTTTATTGGTTGTGTTTGTAGTTTGTCTCTATTCCTTCTTCACTGCGAGTTCCAATGGAGATTTCTCAATGGATTTACTTCAATCTTCTCTTCTCTTCCATGTTAATTGCAGTGGTAATAGCTGCTGATCCTTATTCAGATGCTCTATTGAGCTTAAAATCAGAGATTGACGATTATAACAGTCTGGATGATTGGTTAGTTCCCCCTGGAGGAAATCCTTCAGGGAAAGTGTATGCCTGTTCTTGGTCTGGTGTCGAATGCAACAAGAATTCAACCATTGTTATTGGTTTAAATCTTAGTATGAAGAATCTTGCCGGTGAATTACCTGGAAAGCAATTCAGTGTCTTCACCGAGCTTGTTGATCTCAACATCAGTCAAAACTCATTCTCCGGAGAACTCGCTGTTGAAATCTTCAATCTCACCAATCTAAGAAGCTTAGATATCAGCAGAAACAATTTTTCTGGCCACTTCCCAGGAGGAATCTCCGGTCTTAGGAACCTGGTTGTTCTTGATGCTTTTAGCAACAGTTTCTCAGGGCCATTGCCTGTTGAGCTTTCCGAGCTTGAATTTCTCAAGGTTCTCAATTTAGCTGGCAGTTACTTCAATGGACCAATCCCTTCAACGTATGGGTCTTTCAAGAGCCTGGAATTTCTTCACTTGGCAGGAAATTTCCTCACTGGAAACATACCACCTGAACTGGGTAATCTCAAAACAGTGACACATATGGAGATTGGCTACAACTCTTATGAAGGAAATATCCCATGGCAGTTGGGCAACATGAGTGAGCTTCAGTACCTTGATATTGCCGGAGCAAATCTCTCTGGCTCAATACCCAAGCATCTCTCCAATCTTACCAAGCTTCAGTCACTTTTTCTCTTCATGAACCAGCTCACTGGATTGATTCCATGGGAGTTTAGCAGAATCGTGCCACTCACCAACTTGGATCTCTCCGATAACTTAATTTCTGGGCCTATTCCTGAGAGCTTTTCAGAATTGAAGAATCTAAGACTGCTCAGTCTTATGTACAATGAAATGAATGGCACTGTCCCAGAAGACATAGCAGATCTTCCATCACTGGATACTCTGTTTATATGGAACAATTACTTCACTGGGTCACTTCCACGAAACTTGGGCAGGAACTCAAAGCTTAGATGGTTAGATGTTTCAACCAACAGTTTCATTGGCACCATTCCATCTGATATTTGTGCAGGTGGTGAGCTATTTAAATTAATCATGTTTTCGAACGAGTTTACAGGCACTCTTTCACCTCTATCCAATTGTTCTTCGCTTGTTCGCATTCGACTTGAGGATAATTCATTCTCGGGTGAAATCCCTTTCAAGTTTAATCATCTTCCTGATATCACATATATAGACCTTTCCAGGAACAGGTTTACTGGCGGAATTCCCTCAGATATTTCTCAAGCTTCAGAGCTTCAGTATTTCAATATCTCTAATAATCCAGAACTAGGGGGAACGATCCCAGCACAAACATGGTCCTTGCCACTTCTTCAAAATTTCTCTGCATCATCTTGTAACATCTCAGGGAACCTACCTCCATTCAGATCGTGTAAATCCCTTCTTGTTGTTGAATTGCAGATGAACAATATGTCGGGAGCTGTCCCAAAAATTATTTCCAATTGCCAGGAGCTTGCGATAATTAATTTAGCTAGGAATAAGTTAATTGGTCATATACCTCAGGAACTTGCTAGTCTTCCTGCTCTAGGTGTTGTGGATTTGTCACGTAACAATTTCAGCGGTTCAATACCTGCAGAGTTTGGCAAGTCTTCAAGCCTAGTACTTCTAAATGTATCATTCAATGATATCTCCGGTGCCATTCCCTCAGAAAAGAGGTTGCAATCAATGGGTCGAAGTGCATATGTTGGAAATCCTCGGCTCTGTGGAGCACCTCTTAAATCATGTTCAGGTTCAATGTCAATCTTGGGAAGCAAAGGCAGGGGAAAGCTCAGATTAGTTCTTTTGCTCTGTGCAGGAGCAGTCATATTCATTGCAGCATCAGTTTTCTGGCTAAGTTATCTCCGCAAAGGAAGCAAAGGCCAATGGAAAATGGACTCGTTCATTGGACTCCCACAGTTTACAGCAAATGACGTTTTGAGGAGCTTCAATTCCACTGATTCCATGGAGGAATTGCCACCGCTATCAGCTGCAGTTTGCAAAGCAGTGCTGCCCACTGGAATAACAGTTTTGGTGAAAAAGATTGAATGGGATGCAAAGAGAATGAAGGGTGCCTCAGAATTTATAACACAAATGGGAAATGCAAGGCACAAGAATTTGATCAGATTACTTGGTTTCTGCTACAACAAGCATTTGGCTTATCTGCTGTATGATTACTTGCCTAACGGAAATTTGACCGAGAAGGTGAGAATGCGAAGAGATTGGGCGGCCAAGTACAGAATTATAATTGGTATCGCAAAGGGACTTTGCTTCCTTCACCATGATTGTAATCCTGCAATTTCTCATGGAGATTTGAAGTCAAGTAATGTTGTCTTTGATGATAATTTCGAACCCCGCCTAGCTGATTTTGGGTTCAAGTGTCTGATACAGTTGATCAAAGGTACTGTTCCAGCTACAACTTCCAGAATGGGAACAGGTAAACTTGACTATTCCCTTTACATGGATTCCTTTTATTCAAAACTTTGCATTTCAAACAAACAAAATTAACTTTTGAGCAAAAGTTCCTTAGATATTCAAACCTGAGAGAATGCCTGAACAAACTGGACCATATTTTTTTGGGTCTATGACATAGCATTTGCTTTCAAAGTACGAGTAGACCATTAACAGTTTTTATTCCCTTGTGAGCATTGCCTACAATACAAACAACCAGCAACTGCTTCAATGTTCCTAAAGGAATAGCAAAACGAGTCTATTTTCTACAGAGTTGAGGGAAATACATTCTTACTTGAAAATACATCATCCTGATTAAGAACCTGATTTGAAGCAGTGGCTCAATTTCTGTTCATTCTTTTGTCTTCGAATCTTTCCTTTCTCGAATCAGTTCTTGAAATTCTTTCTTGAAACCTGAAACAGGTCAATCAAACGATGCAATCAAGGAGGAACTATACATGGACATATACAACTTTGGGGAGATAATTCTGGAAATATTAACTAATGGTAGGCTGACAAATGCTGGAGCAAGCATACAGAGTAAACCGAAGGACGTTCTTTTGAGAGAAGTATACAATGACAGTGAAGCTGGTTCCACAAATTCACTGCAAGAGGAAGTAAAACTGGTTCTCGATGTTGCTATGCTCTGCACTAGCAGCAGGCCAGCTGATCGACCATCCATGGAAGAAGCATTGAAACTTCTATCCGGATTGAAGCCGCAAGGTAAATAATAGCACTATTGAAGCAGGAAAGTTGTGACATTAGCTTTCACCATTACAGCGGAAGGCCCACAACAGATACATATATAGCAGTAAATAGTTTTTAATGAAAATATATGTATTTTGATTTGGTTGTTAGCTTGTTTATATAATCTCTATAGTGTTTTTCTACTTAAAATTCTTATGATAGGGACAGAGCAACTGCTATCATCTCGTTCCTTATACAATGTAAAATGTTGGAAGTTTGAATTTGATCATATATTATTTCAATTTGACAGTTTTAATCTCTTTAATGTTTTGGTGCAAAGCCTTGGTAATTTGGATCAATCAATGCTGTGAAATTCTTCTTCAGAGAAGCTTTAAGTGTTATCTAAGTTGCAGAAATGCTAATCTAAATTTAACTTTTCAAGCCAATCTGTACCCACAGGAGCTTTGCTTCAAGTAAGAAAATTTGCCATGGGCATTCTTTGATCTTTACATGGAACCAATGACAATGACAGATACATGTCCTTGTTCGGTGTTCCCTTTGGTTCTAACATTCCCAAAGTCCTCATCATTAGCCACAGACATATGATGATTATCAAGAATCCTGTGACTAATCTCAAACAAGTTACATGCAATCCTGTTCCTGTCCCCAAGCCTTCAAACAGACATCGAGCGCGTCAACGACACCCTGAAAACTATCAAAATTGGAACCCACGACGTCAACATCCACTCCCAACCTCTTCGCCCCCGCCGCGGTGACCGGGCCATGAGCCGCAACCACTAACCGCGGCCACCTCCTTCTGACCATCCCCCAATCCCATCCAAACTCCCTTAAACTCTTCAAAAACCCCTCCACTTCCCCACTACTCGTGAAAACAACGGCGTTCACTTCCTCCTCGTGCTCCTCCCCCTTCCTAACCACTTCCTCCGCACAACTTGGCCCCACCCACCTCGTCTCGTACGCGTCAACACGAATCGGGACCCACCCACCACTCTCCAAATCCTTGAGGAAATCGGGAACAACTGGCGGCTCGTTTAGTCCGACAACTTTCGGAACCGGACACAACACTCTCCGACCATATCCTTTCCTGAGAGACAAGGCTAAGCTGTTGGGAGTAGCGATTGGAGGGACCAAAACTTTAATCCGTTGTAAATTGGAACAAATTTGAGAGATAAAAGGGGTGTTGATTAACTCTGAATCTTTGCCTAAGGCAGCGAGAATGAATGTGGGGCCATGAGAGGGGAGAAGGGGTTTAGGGAGAGAGAGGGCGGCAAGGGAAAAGGAGGTGATAGAGGCGCGAGAAGGGAAGGTGATAGCGGATAGGAGAGAGAGGAAGTGTGGGGAAAGGTGGGTGGAGAGAGAGTGGGGAGTTGGATGAGTGGTGATGGTCGGGCACCAGAGAGGAGTGTGGCCTTTCAGAATGAGGAGGTTGGAGAGTCTGGCAGCGTAGTTCGGTGGCGTGGTGAAGATGACGGTCGGCTTCACGGTGCGGCTGGAAAGAGGGGTGAGGTTGGGGATCGGCATTGCCATGGAGGTTTGCTCTTTGCTGCGTTGGTGCTTGGTTTTATCAAGTAACCTGTTCGTCCTATGCAGCGGATGTTAATGTTCAACCTTTGCCTCCGGGCGGGCGAAAAAAGCATCTAAAACAATTTATATTCTTTTGGTCAGTGATACAGCGCAAAGTCGTTGTAGTATAGTGGTGAGTATTCCCGCCTGTCACGCGGGCGACCCGGGTTCGATCCCCGGCAACGGCGATTAAAATTTTTGCAAGCCAAGGCTTTTGTTTGTTCTGGGGATAATTGATAAGATAAAGTTATTTCAAATTTTATTAATTGATAAAATAATTAAATTTTATAAATATCTAATTAAAATTTAAAAATATTTATTGAAATTCATATTTTAATATTTGAGACATAACTCATTAAATACATACTTTATTTTACAAAATAAATATCTAATTAAAATTTTAAAAAATTTATCAAAATTTGTTTTTTAATATTTTAGACACTACTCATTAAATACATACTCAATTTTACAAATTAAATATCTAATTAAAATTTATAAATATTCATCAAAATTTGTATTTCTATATTTTAGACATTACTCATTAAATACATACTTGATTTTATAAGTCTAAATTTTTTTATTTATTCATGAGTACTTAATTAATTACTTTGAACTCAAACCCTAAGCTTAGAATCCAAAACTAAAATAAAAAAGATAAAAATTTTATACTTTCAAATTACCTGTTTTTACTAAGGATATCAATAGTAAGTTACTAGTTATTTTTTAAATATCTTATCTCAAATCTTATTAATTGTTAAGGTAACTAAATTTTATAAATATTTAATTAAAATTTAAAACTACTATATGAATGTGTACCTTAATACTTTAGACACTATCTAATAAAAATTTTCAATTTTATAAATCCAAATTTATTTATTTATTAAAAAATAAATTATTTTTTAGTGAGTCAAGAAACTTTCTACTTTCAGAATATACATAGTAAAATTGCATTGGATATAAGCTATTTTAATTTTAATGAATTCACATGTCAATCTACTTATCAAACAACAAACTATTTGTTTTTTTCTTTTAACCAAAAAGTCAAATAAAATGGAAATAAAAAATTACTCATATTTTTCTTTTTATTTTTTAAAATATCTAAAAATAAATTTTTATATTATAATATGTTTAATATAATTTTTTAAAATTTAATAATAAATATATTAAAAAATTCAATATAATTTTATAAAAATAAAAAAAATAAATATTTAATGACGGAGAGAAACAACAGCGGTTCACGTGGACAAGTAAAGACAGAATCTGACAAAGATCACGTTGATTGGTTCTTCACTTCAATTTACGTGGGACAAAATAATTTAGCAGTAATATCTTCAATTAATATTTTTTATTTTGGATTTTCTTTAATATTTTCATACATAACTTAGAAAATAATTCACTTAATATTTTTAATTTTTTATAAAATAAAAAATAGACTTTTAGAGTTTTGAGATTTGACTTTCCATTGACTTGCTGGTTCCCACGATTCATTCATGAGCATTAAAGCAAGAGAAAAAAGGGTAGAGAAAAAATCCAACAACACCACACCGCCTTAAATATCCGAAAAGAATTTCGTCATCCATGCATCAAAGCACGGTGTCTTTGTTTCAATATTTTCTTCTTTTTTAAGTCTTCTACTAACGCTGGAAAAAACACTTTTTGGTAGCGGTGAAGCAAGAATTCCCCCATCGATGCCGGACGGCGAGTTGTCCGCCGGCGGGGTCGAACCGCCCGTTACCGCTAAACCTAAAGCCTATGCTACCCCCTCGCCAATCGCTGAAGTTGGTGAAGAAAATGGAGCGAAAGTGGAAAAGAAAGAGAAGGACCCGAGAAAGATAGCTAGAAAGTGAGTCTTGTTTTGTTGTTTTGTGTTTGTAAATATTTATGTTTATTTGTTTCGTTTTTTTTTTGAAATGTGGTTTTGCTTTGGTTTCTTTCTTTCTGATTGCTTCGTGTGAGTTTAGTCGAAGAAACAGAGAACTCTCTGTTTGTCTGGGGAGAAATTTGAGTGAAAACTCGAGAAATACGAAACCTTTTTTGTTGATTATGTCTCAAAAAATGTTGAAAGCCAAGAAAAAGAACCAATATTGGCCTTTTTAACTATTTATTGAGGTGCTGTTTCCATCAAGCTTTTGGAGGCTCAACCTTTTTGTTTAGTTGGTTTTATTTATTATTATTATTTATATTTCAAAGTTGCATTGTGATTTATGCTTTTGTTTAAGGTACCAATTGGAGTTGTGCAAGAAAGCCATGGAAGAGAACATAATTGTATATTTGGAGACTGGTTGTGGGAAGACCCATATTGCTGTGCTGCTTATTTACGAGCTTGCTCATTTGATAAGGAAACCCCAGGAAAAGATTTGCATTTTTCTTGCTCCCACGGTGGCTCTGGTTCAGCAGGTGGGCTACTTTCTATGATTTTCTGACTTAGTAATGATTAGGTTTATAATATTGTTTTGGCTGAGTTTGGGATTTAAGAACCAGTGTGGGTTGCCAACCTTATCATCTTAGATTTGAAATAGCAGTGGGTCATGCATGGTTTTGAATCAAATCTGTTACTGTTTTGTAGCAAGGCAGGGTTATAGAAGATTCTCTTGATTTCAAGGTTGGGACTTATTGTGGGAACTGCAGGCACTTGAAGAATCATCAGGACTGGGAAAAAGAGATTGAACAATATGAGGTGATTATGTTCTTTGGTTGACGCAATATTCATATTTATCCACATTTTGTTCAATATCCTATGATGGACTCTATTGAATATGGAAAGATGAAATATTTTTTATTGAACTTAAGACTTGTCTTATGAAGTTTACCAAATTAAGTTTATTCCACTTTATTTTTCTTTGCTTTTTCCCCTATAGAGGATGTTGCGTTTTAGTAGGTATTATGGATCTTTGAGGCTGTGCATCACCCTTGGCTTATATTTCTATTCATGCTGATTGTTTTGGTGCAGGTGCTTGTTATGACGCCTCAAATACTACTTCGTAGCTTATATCACTGCTTCATCAGGATGGATTTAATTGCTCTTCTGATATTTGATGAGTGTCATCATGCTCAAATTAAAAGCAATCATCCTTATGCAGAAATCATGAGAGTAATGTGCTAAAAATATTTATCATTGTGCTCTCAATGATAGAATCACATTAGTTTCTTTCAGTTGATGTATTTTGATTTCTGTAGATTACTTTGACAATCATGTAGGCTTTCTATGATAAAGCTACTGCATCAATGCTTCCTCGTATATTTGGCATGACAGCATCTCCCATTGTTGGTAAAGGTAATTTAGAATTTCATTTCTATTGAATCAAGATCATTGAGTTCGTACCTGACTTTTTCAATCCTTTTGTCATACAAATATTTTATTCTTATGTGAAATGTGACCAGTGAAAGTTGTTTTGAGGATGTGTTATGTGTAAAGGTGGAAGAAAATGAATTTGAAAAGCTAAGGTTTCAACTTCCTACAAGTTATCCTTTAGCTTATATGAGACAAATAGTTTGGATAACAATGCATCGTGTAGTGCTTTCCAATGATATATCTTCACTTGACTGACTGGCTGTTCTAGTTTTATAGCTGATATCTGTGATCTGTTAATAGCTACTACCATGATATCCTTAAATCTTGGAGCATATAATTTACGCTTTCAGATGCTTCTAGTCAAATGAATTTACCGAAAAGCATCAACAGCCTCGAAAATTTACTTGATGCTAAGGTGAGTCTTCAAAACATTACTTTGAGATATAATATGGTTTTTTGCAATCTTTTGTTTTCCTTTCTAAAACTAATTATGGTTGAAGATTGGGATCTAACTAGCTGTTCTCACGTTCAATCATAAATCTTGCATGATGAAGGAAACACCTAATGAATAGTTTATGTAGTTCATAGTAAGTTGTTGGGTGCCTAAAAGTTTCCTTGTTTTGTTAGTATACATGGAGCATGGGTGAGTGCATGCCTTTATGAAGATACTGTTCTTAGTTTATGTAGTCAGGTTTTTGTAATGCTAATTATAGATGCTGTGGCCTTCTATAGCTTGTGAAGTGGTAGTCCTGTTAGCCTGAATTGAGGACTTTGGTTTCGTCAACCCTTTCCAAACTTTTATAAGCTGGAGTAATGGCTGGTCATAGTCCATCTTGGTTTAGTGAGCTGAGGAGGACCAGAAGATATATTGGGCTTTCCTCAACTGGTGTCTAACCAATCCCAACGTACTTGATATGGACTTATGCATATATAGCTATCGGAGAACCATCTGTTTTTTTCTATGCAGTGGATGAAACATGTGTTTGGCCCTCTTCACAATTGAAAACGCTCACGCTGGCCCTCTTCACATTTGAAAACACTCACTCCTCTAGTAGAACTGCATAGGTTGAATGATCTAAGTTCTTAGTTCATTGTATAATACATAAAGAATATTTTCAAGTATTGATGAGACTTAATTGGTATGAGTTAACATTTTTGGTGCAACCTTGATAGTGAGGTAGATGCATCAATCCTGAAGCTTTTTATTTTCTGCTGCATGTGGATGGATGTACTGAGAGCTGAATAAGTAAATAAATATCTTATTTTGAGTCTATTGTGGTTGATATTTCTACTATGACAGTTCCAAAGATTCACGCAACCACCATAATTTTGGCTGAGGAGGGTAATGTTAATCACCATTTATTGTTGTCATTGTCTTCATCATCACTCTATTTCTCTATCCCTTGCTCTGTGTGACTGTTTTACCATGGATCTTTGGAGACGTGGAAAACAGTAGTTGCCTTGTAATGAGGAATGCCTTTGAAGAAAAGACTTTTTGGTTATAATAAAAGTGGGGGGGGGGAATTTTTTCTTAAACACCATTGTTGGACTGATCTAGATGCTCACAGTAGTTGATTTTGTAATATTTCTCTCTCCATTATTTGTAGGTCTATTCAGTTGGAGATAAGGAGGAATTGGAAAGCTTCGTAGCATCTCCTGTCGTTAG